GGCCTGAGGAGGAGGAGGCAGCGGGTCCAGGAAGCACCCAGTTTCCTGTCCCAGAAACTTGGCCCTTCCATTCAGGAATTGCAGAGAGAAGGGGGCACTTGTCCTGCCTGCCTGAGGGAGAAACTGCGCTCACCAAAGGCCCACGCAACCCCCCAACTTCCTCTGCAGGTGGGCAAGGGGATGGAGAGCGGTCCAGGTGTGCTCTCCTGCCTGGGGGGAGGCAGGCTTCTGGAGGGGCCCACCCCGACGTGCCTCTGTGCTCTGGGTTCCCAGATGGGCTGCGGCAGCTGCCAGAACCAATTCCAGAAGTCCTCCCCTCCCCTCGCCCACCCCCACACACGATCCCCGCTTTGGAGACAGTGGTTGGGGGGAACTTTGAGGGGCTCCCCAGGGCTGAAAGATGACCAGGGCCCAAGGAGCCACAGCTGGGCGATGCTTGTTGCTTAAAGAGAAGCTCTCTTTGTTCTGGCGTTTTACCAAGTGAAGAGCAAAACCAAATTTTTTCTCATCAAACTTTGGCTGGCACGGAAGCAGCCAGACCGGCTGCTGGAGCCCCGTGCCCTTGTGCCAGGTCTCCTCGCCCTTTCCTTTCGTCTGGGACTGGCGATGGCCTCTGGGAGGCCCCGCATTTGGCTGGAGAAGGTTCTGGGGCACCGACCGTCCACCGCGGCGTCTGCAGGCCCCGGAGGCGTCACTCCCCACCCCTGCCTGCTCTCCGGAGCCGGTTTTCCTGGGAAGCGAAGCGACTCCAGCGGACGGGATCGGCGCTTGTGGTGGCCCAGGCCCGGCTTTCGATTCCATTTAACTCGCCGTCAGCACCTTATCTCCGTGCCGCCTCCCGGGGTCCCCACTCCTCCCCCGCCCGGCCCCGCCCCGGAGGAAGCAGAGCTGCGGGCTTTTGAAGTCCGAGAATTTCAATCCCAGAGGAGCCGCCGGGACCTACGCAGTCACCCAGTGGGGAGGGGACAGCAGGCCAGCGTCGCGCGCAGGGGTCCTCCCAGCCCAGGGAGGTGAGAAGCGTTGGGGGCTGGGCCAGCCCCCGCTCCAGCTGCTGTATCGCCCCCTCTCCAATTCCAAGGGGCTGCCCAGATCTGGCGGCTGTCTGCCACGCTCCCTCTATGCATTTACCCTCCTTCGCGATCCGTGTTGGGAAAAGCCTTCAATTCAGTGATAACCACGCTATTAAAATACCCCTAAGCCAAAAAAAAAAGTCCTCAGAAAGTGTTTTCATCCAGTCTCTCCCCCCTTCCCCCAATTTTCTTTTCCTCGAGCTACAAACCCCATCTCTCTTCATCTGATGTTGACGACAGGATGCTGTGGGAAGTGACTTTTGGTTACATTTTCCCTCCTGTGCGGGCTTGCAATAGGCCCTAAGGACCCGGGAAACTGAGGCTGGAGTGGGGAGGGGTGGGATGGAAGTGGGGCTGGTCCTTGAAGCTTCACATCCCAGCTGGGAGGAGGCAGCCCCCTCCCCAGAGAGGTTGTACCTGGCCTGGAGCCTCCTTCCTCCCAGCAGCCCGGGGAAGCCCCCTCAGTGAGGCCGAAGGGGAAGATGCCAGTGACACCTCTTGATCTCTCAATCCCGCTGCTTTCCTCAGCAGAAAGGTCCCAGCAGAGGACAGAGGATCAAATGCGAAGCGCTCCCCTGAATGCAAAGCGGGCGGGAGGAGCCTGATCCTTCTGAGGA